CTGGCTTTGGAATATCATTACTTTATTGTTGAGAACATATGTATTAAAAACTTGTAGCACGTCAATAGTTTCAACCTGTACACGTCCGTGATGGGAGTTTCTGAGCTGTCCGGCCCTTCTCACGCTTCTTTCCTGAGTTGCTCCGACCCCACAGCATGAACTCACTGCCCCTTATGGCTCCGATCTCATTGTCCCAATGGCTCTGGTCCATCTGATCCCATACAGATATTCTTAAAAGAGCGTAACACCCAAGGCCATCATTTTCCCAAGGTAAACAATGCCACTGCTCTGATGTTAATAGACTTCAGGGGATAGTTTTGGTGCCATGTATCTGATCTACTCCCTAGTTCATCACGTGGAGTTTTAAAAGCTTCCGAGCAGCCATCGAAGACCCCACAAATGGGCTCTCTGCCTGGAGCAGCGAGTCAAGAACCGGAGGGGGAAATGGCTTGTGGGGCTAACTGCCTCCATGGCCAACAGCCACCTTTCCCAAGAGACCTTGAGAACGGGACGGTGCTGGGCTACCATGACTGAACAAAACTTATTTCAGGATTTTGATTAGGTGGAAGTCCATCTTGACCTGTCTTGTTTACGTTTTGTTAAAAAATAAAACTCATTGCTATTGAGTCAATGCTGATTTAAAGCAACCCTGTCTGGGGTTTCCTAGGCTTTAAAGCTATACAGGAGCAGAGTATTACCCACCCACCCCCCACCCCACCCCCCGACCCCCTACCCCACATACACACACTCACATTTCCCCCTGCTTCAAACAAGCACTCTGCTAGAAAAAAGGCCATCAATAGTTAAGGATTCATGTGTAATCAAAGTCGGAAATAAACATTTATTATCTACCTGTTACTCTAAGGAATGATCTAGCCCAAGACTCAGCACCTGGCAGCACATTTGCCAAATTAGGATTCGGGCGTAGGTTGGCACTCAGGAGTTCTAAAGTGCTTTCTCCACCTGCCACCACCTTTGCTCAGGTGCCACCACAGCACGGGGTGTTCTCAGAGCTGAGTTGCAGCTGCCAAGTTGGCGGCTGCTCTCTAACCGTCCAGGCCGGCAGCGAAGCCCCCTCCTGAACCGGCATACAGGGCTGCCTGGGAAGCCTCTCAATTGGCTCCTGGTGGGATTTCTACCCAGATCGGACTTCAAGCATACATGAGCTATACTTTAAGCATCAGATTTAAGCATACATGATCAGACTTTAAGCATGTACGATCTATACTTTTGGTCCAATCTCTCTTAGAAAACCTTTCTAATTCGTGGGATCAGGATCTGACTTCAAATATTTTCCACCTCTTGTTCTCTGCTGAGGTGTTCAACCAAAAGGGAGGTTTTAAAACACACAGGAAATGAGATCAGAGACCCTCTCTTTTCACTGTGAGCAGAAGGCCAGAAAGAACAATGAGAAGTACAGGATGTCATGGCAAGTAAAATGAATCAGAGATTTGAAGCTTTTTTTTCTTTCCTTCTTCAAAAGAGTAAATCTGTTCATTTCCTTATTTGCAGGAATCACAAGACCCGCCACCGTTCTGCATGATCAAGATCGTGGAGTGAGTTCTGTAATTCCACTACTCCTTCTCCATCTGTAGACTTTTCCAGGGCTCCCCCCTTCTTTCTTTCTCGTTTAGAAGCAGAGACATATGCTGGGTGTTGTGTAATTGTCACAATAGCAGCCACAACAAAAGTTAGAGAAGGAAATCTGTGGCAGCAGACAGAATTGTGTCAGAGTCTGAAATCAGGTATTTTATGTAGGTCACCTTTTATAAATAGTGGTTAAGAGTGGGAGTAGAGGTTGGCACTGTCACCTGTCACCTCTTTGATAAAGGGAAGCTTTTAAGCTTTTCGGTAGCACTAAACGGCAGGGTACCCTGGTATTTAGAGAAGAACAAAAGTGACCCTGATCTCAAGTGCTCACCTAATAACTCCATGATGGGCTGATTGGCTCAAAACTGAGATGCAAATAGACATCTGTGCCAGGCCCTGCGACTAACGAGCAGAAATACACTCTGACTACAATACACCAGAACGAGAAGGCTGCAACAGATGGAGAGTCAACACAAAACAAACAAAAAAAGTCTCAAAGCCCAAATCCATCTAATCTCTAAATTAATACGCTCTTCCAAAGGACTGTTGTGAATCTTTTTTTTAACATTAGAAGTGGATGACAATGAAATTACACACGGTGGGAGGTGGCCAAACAATACCCCCAAAAGAAAAAGTTATGGTGCTAATACATTTAATAGAAAATAAGAAACAAAGGACATTAAGCATTTTAAATGTAAAGGCTAGAAATACTCAAAATGAACCAAAATACAGATGGATAAAGACATTAAAAAAAACAGAAATTAAAAGCAGATATCAATTAAGAAAAAAAAAGGAAAAGGAAAAAATGCTAATAAAATGGAAATGGATTCTAAATAAACAACCAACCCAACTTGTTAAAAATGTGATTCAGGGGTTGGGAAACTGAACAAATAAGTAACATACAAATGTAATGTCTTAGCACATGAAAGAAATATTTTTTAAAATTTTGCCATAAATTAAGAATTTCGCATCAAATCTCTATGCCAAATAAATTAAGAACTAAGCATCAAAATGGACAGAAATAGAGACTACAAGTGTGAATAACTATGGAAGAAATAAACACTTTGTTAACTTTATAATACCCTCTAATCCTTCCAACAAATGCTGGGCTCTATGGCTGTGCTCTAGCACAGCCCGATGCTTTCAACAACTCTTGGGTTGTGCAGACTGTCCTAGGGCATTGACGACAGAAAGCAGCCCAAGTGGTTTACCAGGCAAATGCAACGCCGTTGAAAAAAAAAATCCATCAAAACCAAATTTTAACAAAGTAATGCAGCACAATAAGCTAACAATACACATTAGTAAATAGGCTTTACTTTGTAACAATAGATCATATAATGCTGAACAACTCTTGTTAATCCAACTCCAACATGTACTGAGTCTCTTGTTGCTGGGTTGAAAGCAGACGGTGAGAAAGGAATCAAAGTTCGAGAGTTTCGGTTTGAGTAGCTGAAGGGAAGGCCTATTCGGAGGGAGAGCAATTGTTTTAGTTGCTTGTAGTCTCAGATACCCAAGCTATCCAAGTAGAGACAGCCAGCTGTGTACAGAAGAGGTGAGGATTGGAGATATTCATTGGGAAGTAGCTGCGTCGAAATGGCATTTCAAAACAAGGTACTGACTTGGGCTCACTTTGGGGAAATGGAGGAAAGGAAGCAAGTTCAGGGTGGAAATTTCAGTATACTAAGGACAGAAGGTCACTGCCTTGAATTCTAAGTATCACATTTTGATATTTTCAATCTCCTTCGATGCACACGCAAGCTGGACAATGAAAAAGGGAGCGTGACGAGGGGAACATTCAAATGATGATGCTGGCAAAACACACAGACGCTACCACGGACTGTCGAAGAAGGAACAAATCTACCCTGGAGGGAGTACGGCCAGAATGCTCCACAGACATCAGGATGGCTACACTGTTAGGAGGGAGTCATCACTGGAGAGAGAAAAGTGCTTCATCAAGGAGAGGGTCAGCAAAACAGAGAGAGACCTTCAATGAGAGGAGGGGACACAGAGGCTACAGCCATGCACAACAACGGTGAGGAGACCCCAGGGACAGGCATCATTTTTATTCTGTTATATAAGAGGGCGGGGGTGTAAAAAAGTTTGAGCAAAAACTCCATTATCTTTCTATTCCATTTCCCCCCATGAACTTTTCAAAGCCCGCCCCCCCCCCATATAAGCTTGTTTTATGTTAGAGGCACAAAAACCATTTAAGGAAAACCTTAAGATAAATAAAAATGTTGTTTTTAAACTGCTAACATCTACAAAGTACAGTTTCAGTAGTACTGCTATTTAGGAGTTTGTTTAATAACGTGCACATATATATATAATGGAGACAGTATTTTTCAGTGCTCTGCAAAGATGCTGGAGTCAGGTGGGCCTGGAGACCTTCCCCGGTGCAAAGATTTTATTTAGATAAAGGGTTTTGTTTCATGGGGGTACTAGCTGTATCATTTATAGAACTCTAGACAATGGTGAACAGAGAGTAAGTATCAAAGTTCACACAATGGAAACAAAGAATGGTTAAGTAAGGTAAAAACAGTATATTTTTAGTCAATTAGTTTAAACCCATCTAGTAAGACTAAAGAGTTACTGCTTTTAACCCACTTAATCATTCTGCCTTTGTTTCAGCTGTACGAACATTGAAGATGTATCTATAAAACAGTTAAAAGGTTCACACCTTAAAGAAATCCTGCTATAACACGTTCCATCTATTTTCAAATTTCCCACATTGAACTCCTGTCGATATTTCCAGGAACATGGCACATAAGTAGGTGGTACCAATGTCAGCAACCAGTAGCCACCATCAGGTTTAAAAGCGCAATACCAAATGGGAAGGAGGGCCCCTTAAGACCAAAAATATGCCCTAAAGGCCTGCTATTACTCAATACTCTTCTCTCATTTTAGCAACTGCAGTAAGGCAAGAAAAAATGTCTGACTGAAAAAAATTCGACAATATTTTTGGGTTATTATATATTCTGAAAGTCGAGATTCAACTGAACGAGTGTTGGAACTAGGTCTTAAAATTAATCTGGTAACTATAAGAGTTAACCAGTCAGATGGTTATCCACCAACGAATAACGTGACTGTACACGAGCCACTACCAGGTTTTAAAACCTAGGTCCCTGGGTGATGCAAACGGCTGGCGCTTAACCACTCACTCGACAGCTGGCAGCACAAACCCAAGTAAGTAAGGCACTGCTAGCGCAGGTGCTGGTCACCTGTTCCGTACAGCTAACAGCCGAGAAAATCCTATGGACCAGGTCGACGCTGTTAACACATGCCATTGCCCGAGTCAGAATCAATTTGATAGCAAAGGGTTTGGTTTCTAAAATCACACCAAATCACTGCTTTGGAGCTCATTTCAGCTCACAGTGACTCTACAGGAGAGAACACTACTGCACTATGCTGGTGCCCAGGCTGCCAATCTTTAGGGAAGCAGGTCTTCCTCCCATGAAGTGGCTCAGATCTTTTCGTCAGCAGATAAGCACCTAAGCGCTGTGCCACGGAGGCTGCTTTAGCTTTGGCTTGCTAGGTATACTGCATAATGAGGGGTAATAACATAAAACAGACTGTGTAATGAGGGGAAATCACGCTCATACTAAATAATGATGGCACACCTTTCTCAACGCTAACAACCCAAACCACCAAACCACGGTTAGTGAGCTGATCATCACACGTAGTGACACTCTACAGTGCTTTCAAGGCTGTAAGGCATTACCAGAACAGAGAGCCTCTTCTCTCTCCCGGGGAGTGGCCTGTGGGTTCGAACCACGGATGTTGTGGTTAGTAGCCTGATGTTTACCTGACCACCATCAGGTAATCAATCCCTGCAACTACAATGTTATATGACTGTGAGTACTATTACCACGATTTTATGGATGAAGCATCTAAGACTTAGGAACTGATAAACAACTTGATCAAAAACAGAGAGAGACAGTCCATGGCAGAATGAAATGTAGCCTCCCGGGCTCTGCAGAATGAGTGTCTTAGCTCAGTTATGCCCACTGCCTATCAAATAGACAGACAGGCTGGGGGAGGTGGTCAGAGCAGGACATGGACTCTCTCGCATTTCTTGTGAGAGTACAATCTGGCGCGTTTTCCGGAGGGCAGTTTTGCATGATCACATTTAGGAGTTTGTTCAAAAAATAAAATTCACCAACGTATACACAGACCCCGTTTATAACAATAAAAGCTGCTTAAAAAATAGGAACTTGGATAACTTATAATATTTGAATATGCTGAATGTCATTTAGCCAATAAAAACAACATTTTTAAAGGATATTTAAAAACACTGGAAAATGCATAGAATATACTGAATGCAAAAGTAAAGCCAAACAAAGCATCGCCCCACTGAAAAACCCAAACTCTGTATGCATCCACTTAAAACAGATGTTTGTAAGTTGATTCAAAAAATATTTTAAAAACAAAAACAATCACCTCAAAATTTCAAGTTATTCTGAGGTGAAAACTTATAAACGACTCACTGTTATTACATCCTCTTTCTGTAATTTACAAATGTGATTTAATGAACATGCTATGTTAGTCTTAGAATTTAATTTTACAATTGCAGGGAGATGATGAGGACCGTGACTGAGAGACTAAAAAAAAAAAAGAATAAATTATAATTTTAAAAATTAAAAACAAAAAGAATTTAATTTTAAAGAAAAAACCAAATTTAGTTTGGAAAATATTTCTTCCATTTACACCAATTTTTTCCTCTTCAGAGTATTGCTAATTTTATTTGAAGATACTTTATACCCAGTTTTTATGCTATTTTCAGATACTTTTCTAATATAGTGAACACAGAATAAAAACTCACTTCCCTTAAACACAATCACCGATTGCACATTTTAAGCCCTTTAGGTTTGTGCTAGCCCTTCAGCCTTTAGTCAAACCCCAGGAAGGACCGAATCCCAAGAACCCAAACTTAAAATTTCCTGTATTTTTGTTTTGTTTTGTATGGGTTTTGATTGCTTGTATTAGAGTATATCTCAGGGGTGCTATGTCAATGGAGGTCCCCCTCTTGAAGCTGTTATATGTTTTTCCATTTTTTGGTATAGGAAACCCAGGATCAATGAACCTAGAGGGGCAGCAAGTAGAATAAGGGGTTTGGGGGTACAGGAGTGGAGGTGGGGTAAGAGGATGACAATGTTAAGGAGTCCACGTAGAAAAAAGAATGTTCAGAAACAGAATGTGGTAGCAATTGTACATTCTATTTGATGTGACTGAAATTTGGAATGATAGGATGTAGGTATTAAATCCCAAATTAAAAAAACAACCCACAAACCCAGTGGGGCTACTACAGAAAATGATGACACAGCATTAAAAAAACGCAGAAGGCAACCATGAGAGAGATAGCCCAATTATAGAAAACACATTCCTTGTAAGTGTAGAAGATGATAAACCATAAATTAAGAGTCAAGATTTGAAACAAGACGAAGTCACGTCCGGAGTAAGGATAAAATTAAGCCCACAGAATTTTGAATAGGAAATGAGTACAGATGACTAAGAACAAAGAACAAAAACTAATTTTAGCTTTGCCCCAAAAGACACGAATAGAATTTGAAAGTACTGTGACAACCCTAAAATGTACACTGACATCTTACAAGCTATAAAAGCAGGCTTGATTTTACAGAACTTCTCCATCTGGCCACTCAATCACAGGCAGACCTAGACTTACTGCGGATCGATTCCAGACCACTGTAACGTGCGAGCCACACTTGTTCTCAAGCGCACGTGACAGTTACGCTTACACTATACTATGGGTTGTTTATTAAAAAGGAGCCTTTGTGGTGCTGTCAGATAAGCTTTGGGCTGGAAGTCGCCAGGCCTGAGGTTCAAACCCACACTCTGCTCAGCAGGAGACAAATGAGGCAGTTGGTCCCCAGATGAGTTGGAATCAAAATCCATTGAATGGCAGTGGGTCGGCCAGTCCCTAATAGTCCTGGAGGTGAAGCATCAGACTGCTAACCACAAGACCGCCAGTTCAGACCCGCCATCTGTTCTACAGGACAAAGACGAAGCTGTCTGCTTCCATAAAAATGTAGTCACAGCCACTGCTGAGGAGCAATTCCCCTCGGTGGTACAGGGTGACCATCAGACTAGGCACGAGTGGATTTGGTCGTTGGTTTTGACAGTCTATTAAAGTGTAAATAACATCATGAAAAGTTTAAACTTCTTGAATTGTTTGACCTGTGGATGAAGTGCCAACAAAACTGTTAAAAAGAAACAAGAAATGAAAGTTTGAGATATTGGGAGGGCTATCAAGATGTGACTGAGAGCTCACGCTATTGGAAAAAGGCACCAAATCAACTTGTTTGATGTAGGGTTGCCACAAAGCTTCAATTTGTAACACATGCAATATTTGAGCAGCACAATACAGCTGAGAGCAACGACGAAGTCCACCTGTACTCACAATACCATTCAAAGCCAGTGAGTAAGCAGGCAAACAAAACAACTCTCTGACCAGTCCAGTCACAGCGATAAACAGTCCTTTATTGCGTGGCTCCTATGTGCCAGGTACGCTGACACAGTCAAACCCAATCTTGAGGGGTCGATTCTGGCTCACAGGGACCCTCTAGGGCAGAGTAGATGGAATCAATAACAGCACTCTGCAAGAGGAGCTATGTTTGATGAATGAGAAGCCAAAGAGCAGTCGAGGGTCTTGCCTAGGATCACAGCCGGTCAGTGGCAGAAACATGATTCAAAACCGTTGTTAGGTGTCATCGAGTAGGTGATGCATAACAGAAGGAAACACTGCATGGTCTGAAAGGCACCCTGGTGGCATAGTGACTAGGCATTGTGCTTTGGTCTGCAAGGTTGGCAGTTTAAAACCAACAGCAGCTCCTCGGGAGAAAGATGGGGCTCTCTACTGCCATAAAGTTATAATCTCTGGATACACCATGCCTTCCAATGATCTTACAGGTGGGTTTGGCGTCTCCACTTTGTCTATACTCCCTCAAGTCAATTTCGTTGCTTTTTTGTTTGAATTTCTGAATTTCTATTCTCATCAACACCTCATGATCACACAGGCTGGTGTGTATCTTGCATGTGGGTTTTGTTGCTTCCCAGCTAAAAGGCCACTTGTTTAACTTCAAGCCTTTGAGATCCCAGACATTACTCTTGTAACAGCCGGGCACCATCAGCTTTCTTCACCACATTTGATTATGCACCCATTTTGTCTTTAGCAGTAGTGTTGGGAAGGTGAGTATCATACAGTGCCACATTATTCTTGTACTGAGGTTAGATTTAAGGAGAAGCCCCAAGTCCATCTGCTTCCTTATTGTATTTACAAACATATTATATACATAGAGAGAGAGATACACCTACCTTTATCTATTTACATATATACACATTTATATTTATACCTATATATAATTTTTACTTTCTTATTCTCTCCTCTTTTTCTTTTTTTCTTTCCTCCTGCCCCACTATCAGGTTTACCCATCATTCACCTCTCAGTAATTCTTTACCCAACATTCACCTCTCAGGAATTCCTCTCGGATACATTTCATTGATCAAACATGACCAGGAATGCTACACCCTCCTCACCATCAATTTTAAATCCTTTGCTCTCCCCTGTCCCTGTCATTATTTGCCCATCGCTCCCCACCCTTCTACTCCTCTCCATGGAGCTCCACCCCCACCCCCGCAATAATCATCAGTCCCATTGCTGTCTTTTTGGAATTGCTTATCCTGCCTATCTTATATAGATAGACACCAAGAGACGAAAAAAGCCAAAGAGAGACCATACAAATGGTTCTAATCTAATGGTTGTCCTGACCCAGGATAGATGAGTACCCCTCAGTTAACTAGCAAGCAGGCCCTATTATAATCCATTGGGCCAATCCCCACCCAGGCTGCGGTATGCCACTGATGAAACACATAAATATCCTCTAGCTCTTTAATACTTCCTCCCCTAACTACTATGATCTTAGTTTCACCTCATTAATCTTGTGAGAACTTTGTATATTCATTCGTATAATTAAGGTCATTTGATGCATGAAATCCAAGATAGATTAAACCCTTCAGAAATAGTCACGGAGGTAATGATGCCCTGAAGGTATGGGAAGAGAGGGCGGGAAGAGGGGAAGGGGGAACTGATAGCAAGATGACTGAAAGAAACAAAAACAAAAGGGCCCTGAAAACAGAAACACCTTTTAATGCAGACCCACTGGGGGAAATGAGTAACAGAACTGTGGGTGAACGGATACATTTCATGGTGTAAGATACTGCAAAAAAAATGATAAATAACTGAATAGAAATAATATATAATAATAGGGGT